GGCCCTGGTTCTGTTCAACCCCGCGATTTCGTTCGGTGGTTCGATCGCGCGGGAGGAGGATCTCGTGCAGAGAGTGTGGGGGAACGGGATGGGTTCAGAGGAGAGGAAAACATCGGACGTTGACCGAACGGAGAGGATAGAGAGAGAAAAAAGTCAGAAGAGGCCCCCCCATCCATCCCGGAAGCTACTTACTAAGATGTCCATCTCCACAGTATATCACATATCACTCGGGAGCTCCGTTCATCCAGTCCAGCCCAGGTCCTGACACCAAGTGCCGCGCCGGGGTCAACCACAGGAAGCAGACAGGCAAGCAACCAAAGCAAGCAAACAAGCAGGCAGGCACTAACAAGTATTCTGCAGCGTACAGACTGCAGGATGCCCTATGGAGCAGTGTAGTGCATCGTGCTGTATTCCCGGATTGCTTCCGTCCCTTCCGGAGGGGGGACTTGTGCCACTCACAGCAGAGCTTTCTCCTGTCTCACTCAGTCACTCACTCTCACTCTCTCACTCGTCAGTCTCATCGCTTGCTCACTGCGTGCGGCCGGTTCTGCCAGCTCTGGTCCTCTATCTCGGTCAACTTCCGAAAGGGTCCTTTCACGCACGAGCCTCTGACTCGTGGCGAGCAGCGACTGAAGCAAACCCGGCGCCGCTGCCGTGGCCCAATAACCCGAGTTCCCAGGACGTCAGATCCTCCCTCTACTCCCCAGCTTCGCGGCTGGCCGGCCAGCTTGCATACCAAGCTCCTCCGGAGGTGTGTGCTGGGTACAGTTAATGTCATGTATGTGTAGCCGTAGCGCTGTTGTGCAAACCGCGCATCACCACCACAAACGACCTAGACATTCCGATTATCCGTATACGGTATACCTAGATCGGCCATCCTCCGAGCCCGCGGGCCACCCGCCCCCCCCCAAACCCAGACATTGAACCTCTTTGCCCGCACCGGCCCTGCATCTCATCTCCTCCACTCGTGCTCCTACTCCTGCTAATACTTCTTGCATCGTCCGCTGGAGAAAAGACGCAGGCGGAGCTGGATCTGACACCCCTTGGAGTATGCTGCACCTCAATGATCCACACAACGAACCGGGCCTTTGGCGGATTCTCGTCGAGCACAATGGGCCGCCATCGCACCTCTCTGCTGACGCTTCTTCTGCCCGACGTTGCGTATAACAGAACCCCCACGGCACCGGTTCCGACGATGGTCTGTTCTCGCGAGAAGAAGGATTTATCTCTTCCATGCCTCTCGTCTTACCGGCAGACTACCATCACCCCGAGCCCAGAGCATCAACGGCACCAACAACAACAACAACAACAACAACAACAACAACGACGACGACGACGACGACAGCAAGTCCACGGCCTTCACCACTTTGCCCCCGTCAAGTCGTTTTCCAGCCTCACCAACAAGGCCGTCGTCGCCCCTGAGATGCTCCCCGAGAGGCGCATGCTCCAAGCACGTTCCTCCCTCCTCCGTCACCTCAAGGCCGCCATGGCGCTCCTCCAGCCCCTTATCGCCCCTTCGTCCACCAGGCACGACGAGATGCTCGTGCCCAGGGTTGCCACCGCCGCCACCGCCGCCGGTCCCGCCGCGCGGCGAAGGGCTACGTTGCCGGAGCGGATACCCCGCGGAGCATGGGACTCGCACATGCACGTCGTCGACCCCGCGGCGTATCCGCTGGCCAAGGACGCCGTCTACTGCCCCAAGACGCACCGGCTCGACCAGGCCCTCTCGTTCGAGGCCTCGGTCGGCATCGACAACATCGTGCTCGTGCAGCCGTCCATCTACGGCAACGACAACTCGTGCCTCCTCGACGCCCTGCGCGCCCTCGGCCCCCGCCGCGGCCGGGCCGTCGTGGCCTTCGAGCCCGGCACCGTCCCCGAGAGCACCCGCAGGGAGTGGCACAGGCTCGGCGTGCGAGGCGTCCGCATCAACCTGTCGTCCGTCGGCAGGTCGCTCGATGCCGCGGAACTCAGCGACCTCCTGCGCCGGTACGCCGAGGACTGCCGCCCCCTGGACTGGGTCATCCAGTTGTACATGCCCATGGCCATGATCGAGCTCCTGGAGCCCGTGGTGCCGACGCTCGGCGGCGTCCGCGTCTGCGTCGACCACCTCGGCCACCCCTCGGCCGGGGACATGGCGGCGGCGTCGCGCGATCCCTACGACGCGAGTGGCTTCGCGGCCCTGGCGAGGCTGCTGCGGGCCGGCAGCACCTACGTCAAGCTGTCGGCGCCGTACCGCCTGAGCTCGAGGGCCGACCACGCCGACCTGGAGCCCGTCGCGCGCGAGGTCCTGCGCCTGCGAGGCGGCGACCGCGTCATCTTCGCAACCGACTGGCCGCACACGAGGTTCGAGGGCCTCGACATCCGGCCCTGGATGGAGACGGTCCTCGGCTGGTGCGGCAACGACGACGCCCTGGTCGACAGGCTCTTCAGGGGCAACGCGGAGGAATTGTGGAATACCAGGGGCGGAGCATGACGCGTCTCCCCCCCTTCTCTCTCCAATGACCATCATCTTGTGTTTAGCGTTGTTTTGTTTGTTTTTTGTTTCTTTTTTTTTATCTGTTCACATTCCCCGCAACATGCCGATGCCGGCGGTGTCTCTGGCATGGGACATAATTTTGCAAAGCAACATTCACGTCTGGATCACGACGTAATTACGATTTATGAGCATAAAACTGAGATACGTAGCCAAAGGCGGCTTTCCTCGTAGCAGGGGTTGCAAAGGCACAATGATAATACAGAAACATGATGGAAAACTCCCATTAAACGTCTTGGATCTTCAAAATGACATGGTTTTTGATACCGCTCACCATCCGGAGGCCGTCCCGAAAGCTCAGACTGTCGATCTGGGTATCAGCAAATCTTGCAACGCGCGTGTCATTTGTGGAGCCGAGCCGGCGTCGTTTATTTATGGTACCGCACCGTCTCTCGGTCGTGGACCGAGATTCACAGGCCATGGGAGCATCATGCGTGATGTGCGCAACAGCCATTGGCCCAAGCTCTCTGGTTCTCGGTCAGAGGCCGAACGTGAGGAGCGGGAAGCAAAAAAACTTGGGTATGGATGCGTCTCGAAGGCATTTCTGGCGGTCCATGTATCCCTGCCTTCATGACTTCAGCGCAACTCTATACACCACAGACGGCTTCATGATATGACTGGGGCCTTCCGTGTATGGACTCTGTTGTGGGGGGGATTGTTCCTTTACTCTGTACACAATCGTACATCCAACTAGGTACATGGGCAGACAACTTTTAAGTTTATTGTTACAGCAGCTCATATAGCCTCCAAAGTTATTCTGTCAACTGCTGGAGGTTCATCATGGGTTGGAGGATACGTTGTCCAGACTTGGTGTGGGAACACAAATCTTTCCAGTCCATGACTGCTACATTACAATCACTTTGCCGGTTTCGAGAGAGCTACCCCGGAGGCTGTGCTCCGTCCACAACGTCGTCGCAATGGACTCTCGGGTAAGAGATTCAACCATGTCTACGCTTAGCTCGGGCATCCCTCTATTTGATGGCAGGACCCGCTGCCCGTAAACGACCAGCGCAGGACGGAAGACGTGCACTCTCTAGCCGGGATTACGTGTCACAAAACCGTTCAAAGCGGCCCGGCAAACTTTCGATTGCCAAGTTTGGGAACACTGGGTCCCCTCTTCATCACAGCGGGCATTTGAGGAGGGGGGGGGGGGGGGGGGGGGCTACCTTAAACGACTCAAGCACTTTGGCAACGGGCGTTATCCCACATATGCGAGACCAACCCCACGAAAGTTCCCACAGTGACTTCTGGCAGGATGGTACATGGTAAACGAAACCCCCGGATTTCGACTCGGCCGGACATGATTGCCAAGATGAGAGCGCGCTGCAACGCTCCCGCCGCCGACTTCCGGCCTTGGGGTGCGGAGAATCACTCATCACTTCATGATGATGCTCTCAATTCTTGGCCACGGAGTCTCAGAAGCCTGCTCTCGGCTTGAGCTGCATCCATCATCACACCCATATTGTCAGTTCTCATAAGACCGGGTCACTTACGGAATTGCCTCCCGCACCGGCAAACCCCATCGCCTCGCAGGTCTCCTGCGTCCTCACGTTTGATAACGCAGGACCATGTATGTCCTCGTGACCCGGGATACGAACGAGACATACCCCGGGCCTACAGCGGGCGCATCGCCGCAGCCTCCTGCAAAGTCCTGAGTCTGCACGTGGGGCTAACCACGGCCGAGCAGGCCAAGGCGGTTTTCAAACCGAGAAAGGTGCGCCTCGATCGAGGGGCGGGGCCACTGAGACGCTGGAGGCGGTGACGGGCTACGCAACACGCCGTCCGGGCTCCAACGTTAGACTGCCCGGAGGAGGTTTCACTGGTTGCCGGGTGGGTGCATTATCTAGGACTAGTTGATAACGGCGGGGGTTCAAGTCGCAGGACTGCGTGTGTGATACTCTGTACAGACATCGGGGCTTCGTCGGACAGAAAGATGGATGAGGTCAAGGTGGGACGAGACTTGGACTGCTAGTCAGTGAGTATACACGCTCATGCACACTAAGTCTATGATGGTCTTCTATCCAAAACAGGTACTGGGACTTGGTGATTCCGCAAGAGCCTGGACGAGGTGGGATGGGCCTTGGTGTCATGGAGCTGATGACGCGCTTAGTTTGTGCGGTGAAAGGTATGTTAGACTGCCGCCGGCAAGCTGTTGAGGAGGATATACTGGTATGTGTGTGTATGCATGTATGCATGCATCTTTAGGAATTACTATAGATAGAGCATGCTAATACAGGTTGTAAGCATCAGATAGAACGCCTTATAACTAGTTGTTGTTAGGGAGTAAGGTACATGTAATTAGAACAAGGAATGACATCTATACAACACTAGACAGTAGAAAAAAATAACGCAGCCTTTAAGCATACAAGAAGATATTTAGCCATGGCCTCGTCTACCTACTACATATTATCTCTATAACTACGATTGACAAAAAGGAATATGACTCATATAGAAGCGGCAAAAGAGATGCCCCCTCACGGGATTGAACCGTGGACCTTCGCATGGTGTGCAGAAGTACGAGTGCGACGCTCTACCACTGAGCTAAAAGGGCATTTTGAAGCTTGTGCAAAAAGAGCATTTTACTAGTCTATATAGGCTACAGTCTTGAAGAACGCTTATTATCTCGATTCTTTACCGATTGACACACCTCAAACGTAGCAAAATGGTCCGCACATGTAAATCAAGAGAAAATCAAACTCATAAAGGCCGCTTATGTAAAGATGACATGTTGTAGGCTTATATCGTCTCCCAGCACTGAGTATCGCCGTACTTTTCGACTGACACGACTCCGTTTGCCTTCTTGCAATCGAAACCCGGCTAGACCCCGAATCCTCAGCATGACAATCCTCTGCATCCTTCTCGGTCAACTTCCATAAACCCTCCATTGAAATGCATGCATCGAGCGGTGCGTAAATGTCTCACATCCGCGCGAATCCCTTCAGACCCGTCCGCCACGGCCCATGTCCGCAAAAGCGAGCCAAGAAAAAAACAAGGACAAAAAAAAGAAAAAAAGAAAAAGAAAAAAAAAACCATACCGTACCTCGGCCATCCCCCGGTGTGCCGGCGAACCGGGGGTCCCCGTCAACCATTCATGACCACGGACGTTTCCCCAGTCTCGGAGGGAGGGAGGGCCAGCGTTACCCGCCAACGGGCGTCGGCCAAGTCCCACTGACGATCCTATCATGGGTCTCTCTCTCTCTCTTTTTTTTTTTAGGAGAAGGTTTTCCTCTGCAGAGGGTTGTATTGCCTCTCTATTCTTCTAGTTCTCTCATTTTTATTTTCATCATTATTTACAATGCGTCTTTACCCATGCGCCCGCCCCAGGTTCTGTTGTAGCGAGACTAACAGCGAACCTCCCACGTTTCTCTCCTTCTAAAGTTCTCTCCCACATTGTCTTCATTTCGCTACGCCCGTTTCGACACATCTTCCCTGCCACATGAGGGGGGGCGGGAGGGGATGACGAGACCCGGGACCCTGAAAAGAAAAGAGAAAAAAACGGCTTCTCGGTACATCAGCCCGTCTTCTCCGTGTCCTCTCTCTCACGCTCTCTCCACCCCCCAAAAAATAGTGTCGGAATGCCCATCCGATTCCCTAGTCGATATCGGACCCGATAACATCTAAGACTGCCCGTGTGGAATCAAGAGAGAAAGGAACAACAACAACAACAACAAGAAGCAGAAAAATCACTCATAACCCGCCTCCTCCAACCAAGATAACCACATCCCATCCCTACCGGTCTATTCTTCCCAGTACGGAACACCCGCCGCCCTCCCCTCCCCTCACCTCCCGGCTCTTCGGTATTCTGTCTTGATGATAGCCCGAACCCATCTCATCCCATCCTCTCCCGCGATCCATCATCCTCCCCTCTCTTCCCGTCTATGCCACATGTCTGCGCGCTCTTGGCATCCGCATGGCGTCTAGCGCACATGCAACCTCCAGACGCATCTTGCATATTCCGCGCCAAGTCCTTCTGGCCTTTTCCCCCCCCCCCCCCCCCCCACGTTTTCCAAGAAAAAGAGAACAAAAGTCCAGACTCTTCTATTTCCTCTCTTGGTTTATCCCCCGCACCATCCCCGAAGCGTCCAAAAACTCGTCTCGCAACCTCTCTCGCTCCCATTCTCTCTCTCTCTCTCTCTCTCTCTCTCTCCAGCGTCCATCAGCTTTCCTTCTCCCAGCCTCACACAGAACGACGCACATCCACCTCACCTTCACAACCGACAACGGGAGAAGAAA